TTGAGCATCATGTTTGAGGTAAACACGTGAATGCAGCAATGTAATCGTTGTTCAAATATTGTTTCATTTTTAACTTTTAATATTTACGTAGTTTCATATTATTTAAATAAAATCAAACAATATACACATATAGACCTATCAAGTCAATCTATGTAGCGAGTAAACTTCAGCGAATAAGTATTTAATACCTAAACGTAAGGTACATAAAATTTAAAAAATAACAATATAGAGAAAATGTGATTATTAATAAAATAAACAGTAATGATTAAAGAATAAAGTAACCGTAATGGCATTATTCCATCATTCGTTATCAATCCCTTTTCTTATTTATTTTATTCTTACAAGAATAAAAAAATTTCCCACAACCTTTTAACACCGTTTTCTATAAATATAGGCCTACATAATTAAAATTATAAAGTTATTAAGAATCGTTGTGGGCGTAATTGTCATAGGTATGAAGTATCAACGTCGCCGTACAGACCTTCCATTGCAAGTGGTACGTGTTTCTGTAACATCAAGCGAACTTACATTAATGAGTGTTTATATCACATGTATTTAAATCATGTATATTGTGTGCTTTGCCCACGTATTGGCATAGATCTTCATTAACCTGCTCATACGTTCATCAAAAATAGATACATTTGTTGTATAGAATTCACTTTGCGTGATTTTCTTTCGTCATACATACCCTGTGAGTGTAATGTTTTAAACTAAAGCAATTTAGATCAGATGACGCGAACACAAGCAATGTAAGTAAACGTTGCTTGCGATGCGTACTTATTTTTTAGTCATATATATATATATATATATTTATTTATTTATATATATATATAAGTTTGAAAGGCAAATGTGTGTGTATGTATATGTTTCATATATATATATATATATATCTGTCTCTTATACACATCTAGATGTGTATAAGAGACAGATATATAAACTAAATCTATCTCAATGAGGCTCAATGAGGTTAAGGGGTGGAGTTGGTGGTAGTAGAGATAGTAGTAGTACTGTGCTGTGTCAGTATAGCATGAGGCCTGTGGCAGTAAGTGATGTCAATCAAACATAGGTTAACAAAATGTGAATGAAAGTGTATCTTTTTTTACATATCATCTATCTTCATTCCATTCATTACACATTTATTCAATCAATGGAGAAAAGAAACAATACAAGAATCCATCAATTTGGATCAAGCTTAGAAGCTGAGCTTGTCTCAGCTTGACACGGACGAGACACAAATCATATTCACGAAAAAAATATATCAATAAACAAACGAACAAAGAGTTAGACAACAATTAAAAATTTACAATAAAGAACAAAAGAGAAAAAGTAATAAATAAAGAAAATAATTAAAAGTTACAATTGGTACATTTCTAAATAATTCATTTTCCATCTGTTTTCTAAATAATTTAACATTTGTGCATATATTAAATGTATATCATCAATAGTATTCCATAATTTTGGTCCGTAGACCGTAATAAAAAATATTGACTTTTACTGAGATCGGTTGTGCTTTCATGACATCTGCTACGAAGATTTTAACGCAATATAAGTCAACGCAAACCCATTGCAAGTGTCTGCCACTCTAACAAACATAAACTGCCAGAGGCAGCGACAGATTATGAGAAATAAAAGAGAAGAGACATCAACGAGTGGTGGAACATATGCACGCGCGATGAGGGAGTATCAACAGACGGCTGTTTTATCTGCAGCTTCCTATACTGTATTTCCCCTGCGGCTAAGTTTGCCAAACTCACGAATTGGTCTTATCAGTCATTCGATAAGATCTGACGGACGACAATGATTTCAAATACTCCAAATTGTATCTATTACTTTGAAACATACACCCAATACACTGTATCCAAAACGAACATATTATAATAATTGAAAAAAATATCAATAAATGTTCCACATACAGTAGGGGCCTATAGATTTCTTCTTTTTTTGACATAACATCAATGGATAGATTGATCAATCGATCAATCAATCAATCAATCAAATAATCAATCGTCGGTATTTCCATAGTTTCCAACCAGAGAGATTTGAAATGCGTGAGTGACTACACCATGTTGGAAGGGGGTGGGGCAGGAGTGGCGGAGCCTCCGTGGGGTACCAGGCCCCGCGCTCCGACGATCTGTGCATTTTTAAGCTGTTTTAAAACGATTTCTGGGAGTGTTTGTTGACAAGACCGGGAACATAAACAAAATATTTTTAATAAAATCTCGTACAATTTGAGTTTTCTCGGAGAATTGATTCTCGAACGAGAAAACGAAAGCTCTCTAATGACTCACGTTTACTGCATGACAGTCTTTGTATTTTAATAAATCCAATTTATTATAATTTTAAATACATTTTTCCCTGAATCCGTGATAATTCGTTATCACGCAGGCTTGTGCTAAATGCGTGACAAATTTACGATCACGCATGTGTTTCTGCAAAATGCGTGTTTCATCTAAAAATCACTTTGAAATGCGGGACCGTCCTGCACGATGCGAGACGGTTGGTAACTATGGTATTTCTTAAGGTACAACTCTAAATTCATAAGGACGTTTATGATAATGCAAGTTTAAATATTCATAACAGCAAAATAATGTTTTAATTAACAGGGACATATAGTGTATATTAATTATCGTTATCAACTCCGATAAGGCAAGTACCGTTTAATCTTATAGCTGGCGCTATACAATTTGATATTTACTATGATTCCACTAAATATTATTATTATTGTTATTGTTATTATTATTATTATTATTATTATTACCGTATTATTATTATTATATCATTATTATTATTATTATTATTATTATTATTATTATTATTATTATCATTATTATCATCGGTATTATTATTATTAACAACCTAAAAAGCCTTAGGCTACTCGCCAGGTCTTCACGTATTTTTTTTTTCATTTTTTTTTTACTTCTGCCTTTTGTTTTTTCTAAAGCTAATAATAATAATAATAATAATAATAATAATAATAATAATAATAATAATAATAATATTTAGTGGAATCACACTAAATATCAAATTGTATAGCGCCAGCTATACTAATATAATTGCCTTATGATAACGATAATGATCAATATAATTATTATTATTATTATTATTATTATTGTTATTATTATCTTTGTTAGCCTTTGAAAAGAACAAATGGCAGAAGTAAGAACAATAAGAGAAAAAACGTAAAGACTTGGCGAATAACCTAATGACCGACTTACAAACATTAAAAAGCAATGTTAAATGACCCCCGCGGGGCTTAACTTAAAAATAGTTGGTGATCAGCACGAATTGAGTAGGCTCTGACGTTTACATTTTGAGGATACTCGATACTTATCTGCCATTTGCTTGTTAAGTATATCACGGGTAAGGGAATATATCTCGAAAAAGCATTTTAACTAACGCGTCCCACTTGACGTGTACTACTTAGGCCTATGTACTTTACAACAGATAGGTAAACTTACAACACCAACAAATGTCAGGGGCGGATTGATGTTTCTGTCGGGGAGGGGTGTGTGTGGTGGAGGGTGCGAAGTGGCCACCGAGAACGTTCATAGCATAAATCGTTGACTGTGTGGGAGGAGTTGGGGATGGTGCCTGGATCCGCAAAACAATGTGCTCGTGATCTAGCAAAAAAGTAAGATAACATTAAGTTAAGATGCTGTACTGTATTTCATGCGCCGCTGAGCCATGATTATTTTTACCATGTTTCGATTCCTAATTTCTATAGGCTTCTATCCCTGTAAAATACAAAGACCTACAAAGCAACATATTTCGGAAGACACGCGGTTTAAGCTCTCGTGTCCAACATGGCCCACCGCATTAGTGTATGTTAGAGAATGCATTGCACATTTTGTAAAAGATCATGCCTTGTCTCCCAGTGGATAGCTGACTATCACCACCAGACGTGGTGCTACGCTGTGGCTGCCCTGGATCCCCAGCGATCTTTTCAAAATATAGTAGCTACTCAAATAGGAACAATATGAGTTACTTTACTATACGTTTATTCTATAGAATACGACATCTGGTTTTTGTGCAATGATAACACACAATAATCGCTCGTACGCATGGTTCTGATGACCAGTGTCGTCACTACTACTCACTGCATCATTTCCACAGTCAATCGCTGATGCACACAACTAAATATGTTCACATTCCCACTAAAGTTTACGATGACTTCGTTGATAAAAATATAACCATTTTAGTTTATTTACATTAAATAATGAAACTATCACAAACTCTACCTGACGGCGTTAATAATGTTCTTTGCGTGTACTCCTATATTTAATTTAACGATGGTCATTTGTACCACAATCAGTGGCGTAACGCCTATGCGTTCTGCTCTCGTGCGGCGGTCCGCAGGGTAGAGGCTCCGGGTCCCCCTAACCATACGGAGGCTCGATCTGAGCACCCTTACCCAAAGGGGCTAAATTTCTTGATACAGTACAGCATAATGTGTCCCTGACATCGACTGTAGGACATACTGTATATCATATTATATCCAGTGGTGGATTTATAGAACGATAAAAGTTCTATAAATCCAAATTTTAAGTCTTTGAGTGCTATTTTCGGCTATCTAAAAGTGCCATAATCACAAATTGTCTTACCTCAGTCCCAAATGGTGGGGCTGAGGTGGATATAGATCCTCCATCTGTGAGCTCTCCCTCTTCCCCTTCTATTTCAAATTCTTTGATTCACCACTGATCTCATCATTATTCGTCGTTAAAACATTTAAAATATAATGACAAAAACATGATGAAAACACGAGCATATCTAAAAGTGGAATTGGCGACCCGGACACTTAGGGGCCACCAGTGTCAGAGGCCAAAGGGTCCCCGGCCCCAGCGTTACGCCACTGGCCACAATTTATGATAAGCTTTGGATTATAGGCTATACTGATTTAATTAAAAACTTCCACAAAAAAATGCTACCAAAAAACATGGTAGCACTGACACAGAATTATCTATAAAAAAACAAAAACAAAAACATGCAGGCAAAAAACTTACATGAATTCCCGGCTAAGAGTCCTGCTGTGGTGTTTGTTGAAACAACTCATGAGATAACTGAAATTGATGGTAGGCTCGATTGCTTATCAACAGAATCACTAACAGGTTCTGTGGTTTGTTATGGTAACACTTCCGGTTTTGGACTGCGCTGTTTCTCCAACCATGGAGGTGCTCCAACAATGGCTCGCGAACTCGTTTCGTCTGGCTATATTCTACCTTGAAGTCTTATAATATTCGACGCTCTTGCGGACATGAACACGGGAATAAGCAATACTCATTCTCTATAAGTGATTGGCCGTTAGCTTATGAATATTCAAGAGCTTTAATACCTCTCTTATTGGGTAAAAAGTCATGAATATTCATCAGCATATCTTTGATGATTGGCGGAATGTTTCAATGGTACTTCTCCGCAATCATGGGCGTATGTAATTGATATGATTGCAAAGTTAGCCGCATTACGTGGAAACAGCATTATTAATTTATTTCATTTGATTAAAATAACATTTTAACGATACTATGAAAATACCTATTAAAGTTCAATCAGGACATCCTGTTAATAGACCTTTCCGGAGTGTCAATCAAACTTAACAACTGACTAATCAAAACAGCGCTAGGAATACGCGCGCGTCTTACAAACACACGTGTTGTCCCACAAACGCACGTGTTCGCCTATGTTTTAACACTGCTGACTTGTGAGACCTTAGCAACAATATCCAAGGGGTGGAGCTTAGCGGAAAGGTCCATTTAATTTTGTTAATACAATGTGAGGCGTTAAATCACGTACGGTGCGCTATCGCTGACAGGGAGCGTTCCGATTGCGTCGGGGACAGCTTCTCAGCGCAAGGATTGCAGTAAAAACGCTGTAGCGACTTTGTAGCGGTTCTATGGGAACCAGACTCTATACGGCAACTAAACAGTATTTTCTCTCATGACTTACTATCGTATCTTATTTATAGCAGAAACAAATGGAAAGATAACCAATAATCATTCATTTATCTATTGACATTCAGTCAGAACAATAGTATCTTATTAATTAAAGAGTTTAATATAGATTTTCACATAGCTACAATGTGATGCGTTGAAATCACGTATACGGAAACAGTCCTCCTGCACGTCAGCGATAGTGAGTCGTTCCCTCTCATGACTTAAAATCCAGTGGTGGCTGCCAGCGAGAATTTGCCACTAAGTCCAGTCGGACAGGCCTGGACCATCCTGTCGTCCGACTCCACGACTAGGTCGTCGGATCAAAAATAAATATAATTAAAATTTGCCTATCCAACGTTATTTTGATTGCTAAATTGTGGTCTAAAAGCACAATTCGGATCATACTAAGCCATAAAACTCCCCGCGAAACCCTACCAGCTAGGGACTTTTTATTCCCGGCCGTCGACCAAGACTCTAGTCTGCCCTTGGTTCGGAACCCTACGTCGGACATGTCCAACCCCTTGTCGGCAAATTTCTGGCGCCACTGCTGTATACTATCGTATCGTTTTTGTATAGTCGTAACACATGGAAATAAAAGCAATAATAATTAATTCATCTTATTCCCATATATTCCCAATCCCTATATAAACCCAAAGATTAAATTCTATAAGCAGAAAATGGAAATTAAAAAAATAGACAGTGTAAACTAGGAATTTTCCAAACCAGTAAAGTTGTTAATTAGTTATAATATTACAATACACATGCACTAAAAAAAATAATGTAATAAATAAAGAAATACACGCAGTCTTACTTTTTACCACGTTTTGACCTACTTTGGTCCAGACTCCTGTTTAAAAATAAACTCAATAACTATTTTAGGGCTTCTTCGTATAAGAAAATAAGCAACGATAACTATTATTAGATAAATCGATGTTGAATTAAGCAACAAAATAGCACCAAATTAAACGACAAAAAAGAAAAAAAAACATAGAATAACACAATTTACCAATCTACAAGAATTGCTCGCTCTGGAGGCGCTATTTTTATACAACTGGAATTTTGATAAAGGGTCGAATGATGCAAAGTAAAAATAAACACGAAGATAATATGCGTCAAACTTAAGATGTGAGTGGAAGTGGAGGTAACGAAGTTTTACATTATTATCTCTTAAAATGACATTTTAGCATAAAACATTAAAGTTCTACGCGCGCTTATATCCTGAATGGTGTAAGGAACGGTACAGCTTTATTCATCCAAAAAATGAAAATTACAAGTAGTTCCATGTGATAACAAATAGTTGATTTATTAGATATCTATTATCTCAAAGATGCTAAATGCATAACACACATAGGCCTATGTTAATATTCGAAATTTCGTTTAACAACAAAATATATATAACATACAACATTTATAACATTTTATAAAATAATTAATATAATATAATATATAACATTTTTTTAAATCTGGAATAAAACAAAATTAAAATAAAAAATCTCAAATCAAAAATAAAAATAGGATATCACATTCTGAAATACCAAAGTATTAAATTAAATTATATATAAAATCACTTTACATTAAAATAACAATCTATCAAGCGTGCACAATCAATATTACTAACAATGCAGCCTACGTTCTTGTACCTTAAGCAATTAAAATAGTGCGCACATACGTACCATTGATGCAATTAACTAATGCTTTAAGCATGCGCAATAGCTATATTATGGTATTGCTAACAACTTACATTCTAACCAATTAAAATACAGGGAACACTCTTCAAAATAAATAAATTACCTATTGTTTCGTACATGCAGAGTATAAATATCAGATAAAACTCGGGAACAAGGTATAAATTTGCTGGATTTTATTAATGAGGGTGACTCAAATGTTATATATATATATATATATATATATATATATATATATATATATATATATATATATGGTGTATTATAAGAGACAGGATAAAGTGTGCTAATTTCTTAATACATTTCCATTCCCATTGAAGCAATTAAGCACTTCAAATTACTGCAGTTATTTTTCGGTAACATCAAAGTGTACCGTACATATATCACGTAGACCAACCCGAATGGCTCTGTTGATAGTGATACGATTAATTGGATCGGTCCGAGCTAAGCCCCGCCCCTTGGATTTATTGTCCCACAAAACGACCGCGTAAACGTACGTAGGCGCGTGCGTTTGTGAGACAACACGTGTGTTTGTGGGACACGCGCATATTTATGGCCCTGTTCCCATTGGCCAAATTTTAAGTTTGATTGACACTCCACTTACCAATGAATTGCATATTTGAAGCCGGGCACTCCCTGCGCCCGACAGTCGTCGGCCGACGCGATTCTTTGAAGAACGCAACACCACGACGCGCGTGCAACGGACCGTCTTTAATGACGATCCGTTCAGACTACCACCGCATCGACAATCAGTAAACGGTGTCGCGTCGTCTAGCGCTCACATTGAGCGGAGTGGGATTCGTCGTACGACGGTAGTGTCGTACGACGCTGTGAGTGCCCGGCTTAAAAGATGCAAAATAAGTTTTCGCATTTCAATTTTCAATGACAGGCCCTAGTTATATTAAACAAAATCAGTTTTCATAGAAACAAAAACTGTTTTTTTTTTTAATTCATTTTTTTTTGACTGATCATCATCATTAAATCACAGATCCTGTATATGGGATTAATGATTAAAACATTAAATTGTTGCGACCTTTGACTATTATTAAACATGCCCCGTCATTAGGCTAATTTGCAACTAATTGATTTAATAAATACTTTGTCCAATCCCGAAGACGAATTTATAGATTTAATTCATCCCAGGATCTATGTAATGACTATAATGAACCTTATTATCAAGGCTATCGTTCACATTGATTTTATATACATCATTTAAACGATCGGGTAAAATGAATTCCAATAATAATTATGTTTGCAGAATCTCATCTCGTTTTATTTTTGTGCGTGCCATATGCCCCTTCGGGGGCGGAGACACTATGTTATGATCCGGCAATTAAAGATGGCGGAAAAGGTAAATACGGTGGAGGTTATTACTGTACAAAAGGCATAAAAAAATTACAACACCACACATTTCCTGATAACCGAATCCGATGTGGATACTTTATATGTAAACATAAAACAGTAAGGCGGTATTATGGCATAGACACACTCTTCAGCTGGGAGCCTACTAAAAAGAATTAAAATTGAATCTATTAAATTAATTAATCTATAAGCCCATTAAAATTAATTCTATAGAGACGGATAGAATTTTTTTTGCTATATCATTATAAGTTTAATCCATCATAGACCAATACACATTTAATTCCTGGGATTTAATATTTCTATGTGATAGATAATAATTATTAATGTATAACATATAGAAAACATTTAACTCGTAATTTAACAACATAAAGCTCTGCACACTATCAAATTTTCTTTGACAAGAAACTGTTGGATGTCCATTTAAAGTAATGGTGTGTTTATATATGGTCATGATGTGATGTCATCATGACCATATTTAGGCAAGTCACGTGATTTTATCAAATAGAAGTTTATAATATGAACAAGGCTTTATTATAGACTGCAGGTTTTGATCCGATAAATAATATGTAGTAAATAATATTAAAGTTAAATCTGTTATATAAACCCCCGACTATTTTGGTCTAAAGGGCTGTTTACACTTCAACGATAACGATAACGATAAAAAATAATAATCATGGACAAACGATAAAATCGTTGCTATACTACGACGATTTTAATGTTTTTCCATGATTATGATGTCATCTGATTTGATTTTTCAAAATATGTTGTTATCGCAAAACTGATAAATCGTTATCGAATCGTTCTAGTGTAAAAACTTCTTATTTCTTTTATATTCTATATGAACTATTGCTTTTAGCATTTGTTATCGTTATCGTTGAAATATGCAATATAAACAGGCCTTAAGACTCGAAGATTTCATATGGCTGTTGTTATCTTTTAGATATAGGAAACTCATTTAATTAACAGCATTGAGGATAAAAAAAAAATGCCAGATAGATAATAAATTAGATTTGATCTTATGAATTCAATGGGAGCACCAGCATTTTGATGGTAAATATTTCGAAAGCTCTCTCCACACTAACAAATCTTCTTTGATAAAAAAAAACCTGTTGTATGCCCATATATAGTCATGATATGCCTATATATGGTCATGATGTGATGTCTTCATGACCATATTAAGGCATGTCACATGTGTTTGTCAAGCATAATTTGATATAGTCTGGAGAGTGCTTAATAGTAGTTATATTTTTTTTTTTTAATCAGAAGCAATTTTTTTTTTTTTATAATAGAACTCTACATTTCATATTCTTCAATATGGCCACCCTGCATCTGTAGATTTAATTTAACAACCATACGGTAACATAGAGCCGCATGTCATTGATGCGATGCATTGCGTATTTGGATGAACAATTCTTAAATCACAGACCACTTATATAAACATATCGAAATGTAAATCTAAATGCATGTTTACAATTTTCCTTAAAAGAAATTCTTGATTTGATTACGATTTTTCACTTGGAACGATAAATCGTAGAATTGGTTGTGACACATACACCATCTTGTAAAAGTTTTTCCCTATCGTTATGTAAAAAAATTGCATTGAGGATTCAAACTATAAAAATGCAAAAATAAATTGTTTTTCAATGTGAAGCGACTTGAGGCGGATGAACAAACCCTGACAGTGTATTATTATCAATTTCAATCAAAATATTGAGTAGTTAAAATAGTTCCCTCATAGATACGTCATCATGGGATTAAGTTTGACGCAACTCTTAATGTACGCCGACTAATTTACATATTCACGTGACTAGATTGATTAATAAACGTACTCGTGAGAACATAAATGTATGAATATATTCCTAGTGAGAAAACCGCTTTAACATTAGAAGTTGGGGGCACTACAACAGGCCTAATTTAGAAATGACATTTCCAATTCTTTCGGTCCTCTGCTTCAATTAATATTTACAAAAAAAGATATTCAACACATGTACATTCGGTAATGTTATTATTAGTTAACGTTTATGGAATTCCTGTATAATTCCCAGCATGGTCGGGGCCAACGCTTGGTCCAGACCAGATGTGAAGGGAAAACGTATGATGCCAGCTGTCCTTGGTCTTCTGAAAAACCTGAAATATCTGATGACAGCTACCTGTAATGTAGAGCTGGATGAAAATAACTCTAATGCTATCTACGAATTTGTTTGGAGATGGTTGAGTATCGTTTTTCGACATGGGTCTAACGACAGCTGGTTCGTGGTATACATTTTCAAAGTTTTCAGCACTGAGAGGATTATTTTAGGTTCACTACACGGACTTGTAGGGTGCATGTTGTTGTTTCACGTTCCTTGCTATTCCCAATAACTTTTTTCAATCCGAGAGAAAAAAAAACTTTCTACAATTTATTGAGGCAGTGGATTAAAATTATGAATTAAGTTACCGTATGAATTTTACTTGGGTCTTCAAATACAGTGCGGATCCAGGATCGTAATAGAGGGGGCCCAGTGAGTGACTTTCACAGGAATTTTATGATCATGGCACCTCCGAAAGTTACCACTGTCAGACTTAAATTTGAATACAATTTTCCTTTCTTCTAATTTGTTTCCACGTCATTTTACGAAAACCTAACATATTGCGAAAGTTTTATTACAATTAATAACGATTTGTGTTATGACTGTGTCGCACGCGCTATGACGTTAACTCGCAAAGGTATTTATAAAGAGCCTAAGAAATGTGCCCATTTTTGAATGAATACAATCCGAAATAAGCAAGAAAAACTATAAATGAGTGATTACCAACCATTAATGAAGCCTAGGAAGGGTTAAAGTGTATGCCTCCTTGTACTTACGTCTAGAATTCGGATTTATAGAACGAACATACTTCCCGTTTTGCAACTTTCCTTATTGTGTTTTGTGTTTCTGTACTAAGCGCATTAACAGAACACTATATAAAAAGGTAACTGCTTTTTATTACCAAACGGCTTTACTAATTTACGTAATTCGTCTAATACTATATCTTAATCACCCCACACGTGTTGGCTTTTACCCCTTTTCCTTTAACGTCACCTTCCACTGCAAGATAAACGTCCATTCTCACCCTAGTCTGAACTTCTAAACTCCCGTTCTACTTTACTGTTATCGTGAGGCCGAACGCTCGGAAATTTGCTCTTGATTCAGAGGAGGAAAAAACGGGATTAGTGATGCTGACTAACAGGTTCTTCGACCGATAGGTAATTTTTCCCCCGCTGTCGGCCGCGATATCATTTAGTTCTCTTTCTAAAAACCATATAACGGTTCATGTAGGCCTATTATGTTAATGAAGTGTACACAGGTCACGGTGAATGAAAGATGGATGGTATGTTACTTTAGGCCTATTTGAAAATGTATCCATGTCTATAAATGACTGGCTATGTAATGAGGATACCATAGGCTACGTCTATGGTCTGTGCAAGGTTATGCCATATTTCCTCCGTGCTCTTACGCACCTGTGAACCTGTCTCTTATACACATCTAGATGTGTATAAGAGACAGATCACAGACCACTTATCGTAGGACGCGATAATAATGACAAAATATTCTCTGTATCTACTGGAACCAGCCACATAGCTTGTGTTCCACTATTTGCATTCACACCTGGGCTGTGTATATATATTGCCTTGGTTTGGCTCTGTAATCATTAGTGGTCGTGGGACTAGTTTGGGCCCTACTTAAAAGCTGGTCAAACGTGATGTTTGGGTCTATATCCTAGCTGCACTGATGAGGCCTGGAAGGCCGAAACGGATCAGTCTGCAGATATTGGGATTCCTTCCAGTGGATGCTTAGTTTATTTTGTCATTCTGATCGGATTTTCTCTACTGTTCTTTTTTAATTACACTATTATATTTGAAATAAAGTTTATAATATTTTACATTATCCACAAAACAATATAGGCCTAAATATTGTAATTCATATGATGTAGATGAATTATTTTAAAAGTCATTAGCCTTCAACTTCCAATAGATGAAACGATTTTAGAATTGATGGAAAATCTGTTTGAACTTACCTTAGGTACTGTACCTTTATTTCTGTTTATGTGTATTACTATTATGAAATTCATAATATAAAAAAATAAATAAAAGATAAATTGAAATGAATTTTTAAAATAACCTGGCAACTTATTTATCAACACACGCTTTCAACATGGCGGCTTCCATGGCAGCATCCATTAAATCGGACAAGGATTGGAACATCGGTTTTCGTGGTAATGATCGTATTATTTGTCAAAGTACTTTGTTAAATACTCCAAACCAGTAATCTAGGGATTCGAATACGTGAATAATAACGTATCTTATATCGCAATCGACATAATTTGGCCAGTAATCTTTTGCTTGTATTCCTAGGCTGTTATTTCACATGTTGTGTGTATTTTACTTTTGTCGCAAACGGCACTCTGGCCGTGTATTGATTGGCATGGACATAATATATAGCGCCTAGGCTAACTAAGGATGCGCGGGTGACAACACGCAACAATTACTATTATGAAACATGAACTTCATCATCAAGTTTATTTCAAACTCTTACACTGAGTTACTTAACAGTATAATAGTATTATCCACTAAAATTTAATTTAAAAAAAATTGATGGGCTAGGCCTGGGCCTAGGCTAACTAAGGCCTACTGTAGGCAACAATACATCAATAGAGTGACCTTGTCCAAGGGCTCTACAGTGGCCTAGGCTACGGTGCAGCCTAAGCTGATGCTAGGCTGCTATATAATATATCTATCCAATAAATATGCTAATGATATATATTAAAAAAAGGCAGGTCTTGTTCTGCAATGTGAATTAAATCTGACCTAGAGATCTCACGGTTGCTTCTTCCTTCCTCTTTGGTCGATGCTCCTTTCCTATAGACATTTGTATTGTACTGTATTCTCAAGTCTTGTATCTCCTCCAGATGAAAAATGTAGGGCATGCAAATTATCAGTTCATGTTAGTCCTGTTGCTTCTACTTTGCCATGAACTGCAATTTGTGAGTGATTGTGGCAAATGAATCATAGAATTAAAGTATTAATTGGATGGATTTATCTGGTGCAAAAGTCTGAAGAAGACTTATTTCCAATGGGGTCGTTCTGGTGGTGATTATTTATTTATTTTATTTATTTTTATTTATTTCGAAAATCATTCAACAGCGGAAGCTGTATTGCACGCAGGACCAATGGCTTAAACGTCTCATCCAAAAATCGTAACTTGCATTTCAGCCTTACTTTACTGTAATATTAAAAATTTGTTTTCAAATACAGTGTATGAATAACTGTACTTTGGCATGGGCAACACATTGATTTTTTTTAAACTTATATTCAAGTCAAATGTGTAGGAATATATTTATTTTACAGAATTTTCTCAGAGGTAAACTTCTCCCTCCCCTGTTTTTTTTGTACCACTTAAGGTCTTTTAATTAGTTTAAAAATATTAATTTAGAGATCCAACCAAAGTGATCAGGCTAAGTACAATCTCCCAATTTTTACCTTCCTAAATCATAAAATTTTACCCCCTTAACCTCTAGTGGTTTAGTTTAGACCCTGACTGGAAGCCATCGGTGGCCCTTTAGTTCAGATGTCTTGTTGGACCCCATCCAAAAAATTTCTGGAGCCACCTGGCCACTGGTCGTACACTCCAGTTGGCTTATTTATAATGGCATGCTATCTCTCAGCTTCTGATGCTCGGTTAATCCTTTGCTGTCATATATTGTATTTATCCACTTAAATCATTAGCAAGAAAACTATGCTAAGCTGCAATAAAATATCACCATTTGCGGCAAATTGGCACCAAACTCGATTGTGGTTTTAAGAGAAAGCACAAAAGAGGATTTCACACTAGTTTCACAGGAAATAATTTCTCTATCAAAATTGCTAGGTTGAATATTTATTTATTTTTTTCTACTTAATTCGTTAAACCGGATGGATGCATGCATGCAGGGATGGATCTATGGAATCATGGATGGGTGGTCAGATCGATGGGTGGATGGACAGACGGATAGATGGATGGATTGATGGACGGGCACGCAGGCGGATGTATGGATGGACGGGTGGGTGGGTTGGTGGATGTATTGGTGTATGTATAGGTGGATGGATGGATGAATACATGCATGCATTGATGGATGGATGCGTACATGCATGGTGGGTGGATGGGCGGGTGGGTGGATAAATTAATGGATGGATAAGTGGGTGGATGGATACAGGGGCGGACCCAGAATTTTTCAAATGGGGGGTTAGGGGGGTACAATATATTCAGAATAGATAAGTGAGAGCGCTAATTTCTATGTCTTGAAATTTTAAAATTTATTTGCAAAATGGTGGGAACGTGTGCCCCCCCCCCCACTGGATTCGCCCCTGGGATAGGTGGATAGACACGTCAGTGTGCAGCCATACATTGCATAGACTACAAATTTTTATCATTACATCACCAATGTCCAGGCAAAGGGTATTTTTAATACCCTGGGTATTAAAATCTATAATCCTAAATCCATAAAAAGTACTGTATATTGAATGCATAATTGTATTGGTTTTTATGTCATAATTCCATATTGATATACGTTTTTGAAGATTTTAATGATTATGTAAAATATTTCATAATCCTTATTTCTAGTAATATAATTCATAGGGGATGGAATTAGCATTTCTTGGTTTGATGTCTACCAGTTCTAAAATATTCTGTTGTCCAGGGATATTTCAATGCTTTTAACTGCAACGTATTGATATTTTAACTAATCTTAATGAGTTTTTTTTTACCCTAAAGGGGACTGTCAGACGGACTTTAAATAGTCACCAGAATCAATCCTTCGATGGCTTTAAAAAAACCAACTCACAGTTCATATTAAAGGGGCTGTTTAAGCCTGCACGCTAATGATCACTGAGCATTTGTAGATGGTCACATAATACTGTACATCACAACCAATCAGTGATGTTGTTGCTCAGAATGTTTAATTTTTTATAAAGCATAGATGGATGATTATGAGTCTTGGAAAAGTTAATCATGACCCGAAAAAAGAGATAGCAAGCATCCTTAATCACTGCTGTGCCAACATGGTTTACTCATGTCACATGATGCATCACAACCAATCATTGATGTTGTTGCTCAGGATGTTCAATTTTTTTAGAAACTGTAGATGGATGATTGTGAGTTTTGGTAAAAGGAATCGTGACTCAAACAATGAGGTAGAGAGCATCCTTAATCACTGCCAACACGGTTTACTCTATATGAAATTTTAATTTAGAATGGCCTTTAACAGAGCTTAATAATATAGTGTCCCTTGATAGTTGAAGGAATACCAGTGATACAGCACAAACGAAAATAATTACATTAATCACATTAAAAGCATTTCGCTCGTTGGCATATTAAATCTAGATAATAATATGAAATTATATTCAAATAATTTGATCAAATATAGGATAAGGCATCTTTGATAGTAGTGCGCATCTGTTGAGTAAATCACTAACAGTTTACTGTCTGTTTCTGTAATGGTTTTGTGTCATTATGTGTAGTCATTTCGAAATAATTTCCACTGGGTTTATTGGACAATAAAGTTGATAGTATTTGTCGTGTCTACCATCTACTTTATATATAGTGTGTGTAAAGTATGTGTCTATCTGCTGCATTAATCTATCTCAGTGGTATAATGGCTTGGTGTTTGTGAGTACTCTTGGGGGAAGTATTCCTGAACCTCCACTCCAAAGAAACACTGGAGTATTACTGCCCTTCCTTTTATTTCTACAATGTTGCATAAATAACAATGTAATATCTATCTAGAGGCAGGGGCAGATCCAGAGAAAAATGGTGGGGGAGGGGGTCATATAGTAATGTAAAATAAAATCATATGAGTGTACAAAATACATTTTTTATTTAGGTATCATGCAGTGTTTTTAGTACCATTTTTTTCCTCGCTCCCCTTTACATCTTCTCTCTTTTAATAGGAGGGGACTCTAGCCTCCCCCATGCCCTTGCCTGGTATCTATTTGTGTCTGTGTGTCTGTCTACTGTACATGTCTGTCTATCTATAAGGCTCGTCCTTTTCAATTTATCCATCTATCTACAATTATTCTCTCTCTACCTGTTTAGTCTGCTTGGCTACCACACTCTTATTAGTTACTCGCCAGCCTTCCAAGATGAGTGGTCAGCGACTAGTCTATGAGTCTGTACCAATTTTATGACTTTTGGGATTTGAAATAAAAAACCATCGGTCATTAACTTATTACTTTTTTAATCAAATATACATGCTCGGCCAAGTACAGTAACTACTAAATTATACTTTGATTCCTGATACAAATTATGTACTTAACTACCTTTCCTTTAAAAAAAAGCAAAAAACCATACATTTTGAACAAGTTTGGACAAAAATCTGCTTCTAAAATAGGCAGAGTATATAAATATTTAAATTTATAACATACATCAATCAACTTATTACTGTACTTATTTTGTAATCTAATATTATGTGGGATATCCGTTTATTCTTTGTGTCATGATTTATGTATATATACAGTAATTTGTTCTTTGAAATCCATTTCTACAATACTTGGAATATATTAATTACTTTACATGTTATTTATATCAAAATTAAAATAATTTTGATAATTTGGTTTCTGTAAAAGGTTAATTCCATGTATTTTGTTTCTTTAATACCATCAAATTATATATATCTTATGCAACTAAAAGAAATGGCAATACAGAATTAAAATATCAGTATGTTAAGATACGAATTTCTGAAAAGGTACACTAAATATTTATATGAATGTGGATTTTAATTTATAACATAATTATGTATTGTATTAAAATAATAAGTGAATATTTGTTCATTTCAGCGTACCCAATCAAGTTCAACCGTGAAAGCGATGCTGGTCATGTGATGTACTTCAAGCAACACATCTCGAGGGAGCCTGCAGAGTTTGAATTGTCGAGCAGGATGATTTTTGTCATTAATGTACCTCCATATTGTACTCAGGTTTGTTGACCTTTAACCCTGTCATCTTTTATCTTAACATTGCGTGTGTTTCTACTGAGTATTGGCTGATAATCGGATTATCAAGTCCTGTTCAAACTATCAAATTTTATTTGGCAAAAAAAACAAGTGACATGCCTAAATATGGTCATGATGACATCACATCATGACCATATATAGGCATACCATGACTATATATGGGCATACAACAGTGATGTGTCGAAGAGAATTTTGATAACCTGGTCAAGGCTTAAGAACTGTGCCATGAGAAATCCTTCTTGGCCTTTTAGGCACAGAATTGATTCTGTGCCAAAGAACGGTTTTTCTACACGATCAGCTAATCTGGTTTTTTTTTGTTTTTTTTTACTACAAACCGTTTTTCTTGCCAGCAGAAACACACTCGCTGATGGCTTTATGATAATCGCTGATGTCTATACTTTACTGATGCACTTGAAGAACACAATGTTGTCCATTAGGCAAGACTTTTTTTATACCTTGTTTCGTAAAGGAGGAGAATCAAGGAGGGCAGAAAAGAAATTTAAAATAAATTTGTTATCTTATTTAGCAAATAGTTTTGCTAAAACATCCAGGCGTAGGAGAAAATAAAATATAATTTTATTGGTGAATGTAAACAGTGTAGTGCTTTAAATTTATATAGTTAGAAAGAGATATACATATTATTTTTGGAGATTTCAAGGCAGAAAAATAAAAAAAAAACTTTTATTATTTTTTTTAATTTCCATTTTTTCAGGGCAGGGGGTGCGCTATTTGTCCAAAAATAAAATTTTATTTTTATTCAAAATAATCATTATTGGCTGGCGGCGGGTTCGTTATTAAACAGGTATAAAAAGTCTCCCGTTAACACTCTCAACATTTATTTAATTAACATTGGATATAAATGTCATTTTAAAAAGTTCGTAGTTGCTTGTTAATTCATTTTCTTTTCATTAGTTTAATGTATTTATAGTTTGTCGATATCTGTATGTGTGGCTGCACCAATTTAACTATGTAGAACTGGTAATAAAGGTGAGATGCCAATAAAATCATGTTATTAATATGCCAAAAATATTTGTTAGCTCTATCTCTCTATAAGTGTAACTGCAACTATTTCTATGTGCAGCCCTTGTTATAAAGGTGAAACACCAATAAATCATAATGCTATTATTATGTCAATAAATATTTCAACAAGTCTTAATACTTGCTACTTTTTTACTTACTGTACTGTGTATTAATATCGACTGTTGTGGCTTATCAGATTATTTATCCATTACTGATTATTTTATTAGCACTTAAGTGGATACATACTTAAGTACTGATGTAGTTTAACAGTGTCAGTCCCCTGTAAACCCCTCTTAAATCTAAACGATTTCAAGCTTGTGTAATGCTTGATTATAAATTTTTCCCCACTTCCTCCCCCACCTTCAAAAAAAAATCTCTAATCAAGCTTGTTTAATGCTTGATAAGAGGTTTTTTCTGTAGGTAGGAGAGGAAGTGAAGAAAAGAATAATCAGAACTGGACCTGTTTACACTGATGTCCACGCAATGTTTTCCTCAAACGCTCATCATCATTTAACATTATTATTCTTAACACTAAACCCCATACCTGATCCTTTACCACTGATGCCAATGTACTACTCTTCTTGAACACTGTCATCTTTTAAAATTAATATTCTTAACATTGAAGTCCATACATACTTTACTATTTTATATAACATTGTCATAATTTAATATTTGTATATTCTAAACATACTGATGTCTATACATTGTACTATCATTCTTTATATTAATGTATTTCATTTTTATCTTTTCAAAATTGTTCCTAACACTGATTTTTACACTACTGAAATAATTTATGAACAAAATTTTCCTAGGATGTTCAAGTACTCTTCACCCTACCTCTATCTCTCCTATTTAATTTCATTTCTTACATGACTTGACCCAGATGGTAAGGGGCTTGTGAATATATTGTGGTCCATGGATCAACTGTAAATAGCTTTAATATTTGCCTTTTTGACCATTCTACATACATCTTCCACCCCTTCTCATACAATATACTTTTTATTTTAGATTTGTGTGTTTCCCACTGGTTTTGTGTTTTATTTCTTATCATATGTTGATCTAGAAAAATTCTAGTGATAAGCCTCCTATTATGAGTCCCAAGGAAACCATTTGTATGATGTACCACATAAATGTAAACCTTATTTTTAAAATTCTATATCAAATCTCTGTTCAAATACTGCCTCAATTTTAGTACGCAGCCCCTTTCAATTTAAAATTACCCTCCCCTTTTTTTATCTCTTCCGCTAAATGGAATTCAAGAAATATTAGTTGTTGGGCAATTAAACTAGTAATGCTAGCTTGGAAAATGTAGCACTTTAATATTTGCGTTTAATGCACATTTGCGAGTGATTGATGACTGCTACGAGCCACACTCAGGTATCATAACAACCGTACTGATGACCAACAGACAACTCTGTTTCCGATTGCCACGGCTGAATGAACACGTATTTGTAAGTTCCATGAGGAATGGCGGAGCATTTGCAGCAATTACAAAATGATATTCGATCGTTCCTACATTGAAACAGTTTTCTATTTCATGCGGCGAAAATATAATATTTCACGATTTTTGTTACAATGTCATTAAGTTTGATCGCATTTTCTATATGTTGGTTTAAATCCTACAATTTTTATATTATCATTTGATGGTGATCATTTTGGAAATACTTTGATATAGAAGCATTTTATTACAATCTAAATATTTGATTTTTATGATTGATAGATTTATTTTTGATAAAGAACAGTAATATCAAAAACAAGCAGGGTATAATATATTCCACAATTCCTAATTTGGTCATTAATCAAATGTACTATATTTTTTATAATTACATTAGGTTTGATAATCTCTATCATTTGCATATTATACCATTTTGATAATGATTCTCTTTCCTGAAGATGACCCAATAAAAGGTTAATAGGTCAAACCATGGCATCCTTCTCTCATTTTAAAGGAAAAGTAAAATCAACTTTACGTTAATCCTATGCTGTATTTTTAAATCATCTTACTTATTATCTGTACAGTATCAAAAATCTCTTTACTGCGTATAAAACAAGAAGGGAAAACATAAATCTTTGACAGGGGCGGCTTTAGAGGGGGGCAGGCTGGGCCAGCTGCACCCCCCTCCCCCTTTTGGAAAGTTGGAAAAAAAAAATTTAGTAATTTATTGCCCAAAATGTCCAGAAGTTTCTTTTCAGGTGTCTAGACAACTTTCCGCTATCTCCCCATCCGCTTTCAGACATCTCTGAATCTTCCCCTGCTAGATCATGGCCCATAAGGGGCACACGCAAGGAGAAATGAAGTACAGCATTAATTAAACAATAAGAAAAACTAGGAATTTAACAATTGTAAAAGTCATAACAATCCTATTCAGTCAATTTTTAGATAAGGTGGGTTAATCCAGATGGGTTTATTTTTCGTGTGATAAATACTGAAGGAAGAGATTGTAGCAAGTTTAGATATATTGTTGCAGAATTTTTTTGTATTATTTGGTCTTAGTTCACATATTAGTAAATAATATTAAAGTAAAATAATATTTTATAAATAAGACATACATTGAAAAAATTAAGTTTATTACAAGAGAACTTTATTTTCATGTGGAACATGAAATATGGATTTTTGCTTGATTAGCCGTACATTTGGCTTTGTTTTTAGCCAGCTAAAAGCAGCAATACCACAAAGAGAATCAGAAAGTAGGAATTTTGACGGTAAAACAGTGGGTCGTCTTATGCATCCGACAAACAAAATTCGTCTAAAAATCTTCTCAAACTCGGGGGTCGCCTTATACGTAGTTTGCCTATACGCGAGTATACAGTTCAGTAGAGTATCTGTATCTCTTACGTACAAACACCATACTGGTTATCACGTACGTCGGTCAGGTGCAAAATAATTAATTGATAGCTTTGTTATTAGTTGAAACAGTTGAAGTAAAGGACATTATACATTTCAAACAATTATTTTATCACTGGTTCTCAGAAAGCCGTTAGAACAGTTGTATTAATTTGTTTAAATTGCTTCAAATCTTTTAGGAGTGTCTTGAGAGGTTGTTTGGTAGTTGTGGGAAGATAGAAACTGTGTTGATCCAGCAGGCTCCAAGAATGTCTCCATCATCTGCAAAATTAGAGGACTCGCAATATTTCCCATCCAGGGAGCAGATGACGGTAATTAACATTAATAATTTTGTTTAAAGTTTGCATGGCGAAGTAATAATCTGGTACACCATTGTCACGTAGATAGTCCTGAAAAGACCTGTTGTATTTTGAAAATGTCTTGATGTTTCGATTTAGTTGCTTCAGTCGTCTTCAGGAGAATAATATCTGCAGGGAATCCAAACAAGGAAATACTTATGTGATTGGATAGTGAGACTTGCTGCTGATTGGTGGAAAACTAAACAATAACTGAGACTACATGTGTGAAAAGCCAACAATCAACAGTTCTTTTCAGAACTGTTTATGTGGTGTACTGTACCGCAAGCATTTACCTTATATTTCTTTAACTTATAACTTATTTAGCTAGGATAACATTTCAGTAATATACATCTTATAAAACTACCAAAACTACTCTTATACTTTTATATATTTTCATTAATATATTTACTCTGACATGATCAGGCAGACCCTGAAACTCATTCAAAGCGACCTTAGGGCAAAACGTCTAAGTGGGCAATTAGCTCTGAACAGAGGAGCTTGGAGATCTGCAATCAAATGAAGAATAGTCCAACCCATAACCAAAATGGAAAAGGACTGAAATGGTATAATATGATGATGATAATGATAATCAGAAATTTAGTAATCTAAATAAAAATTTAGCTGGAATCTTTATTCAGAATTTTAATATTATATAAATTACTATCTTGATGTATTATGATTAAATTAAAATGAATCTTGTTATTGTCTATTTTGAGTTAGTATCATTTTAAGTATTTTACTAGCCAATTTAATGTATTATCTATCAGCCCAAACAAATTGATATGTTTGTATTTAGTTTAATAATTAAAATTTCTTTTTGTTTCTTTTTATTTTTTTTCTGTTTCGTATTCATAATCATTTGGTCTCGCTTTGAAATAAGTTCATCTGATTGTGTTGCTTGCACTTACTGTCAATTTTTTTGGTTTACTGAATGAAACTTGTTAATTTCTAATTACTTATGGTTCTTTACTCATTGCAAATTTAGTACAGTCAACCTTGCCTAGGTTAACTGTGTGAAAGTGAAAGTCCATGCCACTTTTTCTTCCTAAACCTAATACAATGATAAATAAATGATCAATGCTTTCTACATATTCTATACAAGTCCCTGCACAATACATCACCAAAGTACATTTTGAGTTTGCCCAACCTACTGTATATGTTACTACAAAACATCTGCGCTCATCAAACAAACACCTTCTTGAAAAACAACGCGCAATCTATCATTAGGATTGAGAGCGTTCACTTACGCTTCTCCAAAGACTTGGAATGACGTTCCACAATCCATTTGGTCTGTAAGATCCCTTAAAACACATTTATTTATCCACTTCAAATAATTCTCTTTTTTTTTTGCTTTCACTTTTGACTTGAACAGTGCCAGGAACGCATTTTGCGGATATGGCGCTATAACAAATTGGCAGTTGTTATTTATTATTATTATCTTGATTTAAACAAAGTCAATTAAAAGCCAATTTGGTCTGTTTTCAATTTATTTTTATTCTGTAAGATTCATTGTGAAGTATGTGTCTAACTTTTATAATCATCAAAGATAATTTACACAACAATAGTAGTTTTGCAACATATGTTAATTTTTCAAGCTATAGACAAATTGAATAAGGAAAGGATACTCTCTGTTGATACCGCCATTGCTTGGGATCTCCAGGCATGGATCCCCCATTTTTGCCACTAAATTTTAAAATTTCAATGTGTCAATGTTATGTGCTACTAACTTTTCTATTCTGAAAATGTTGTGCCTCCCCCCCCCCCCTCCCCGTTCAAAAAATTCTGGATCTGCCCCTGACCTCCTTTGGATCCCCTGCAATATGTAATGTCCATATAAAAGTAAATCCTTGCTGAGCCACTAAGGCCCATAGGGCTGAAGCTTGTCCCTAGTTTCAAGGTAGTATGAAGGGGATGAGAGTGTGATCCCCCCCCCCCATGGGTGGGATACTAGTGCACCGCAAGTTACCCCCAGCAACTTGCTGGTACCAATTGATACAGCTGGGTAGACTAAAGCAATGTAGTTAAAGTGCCTTGTTCAAGGACACAAGTGAAAGGCACAGCAAAGGATTGAAACCCCTGCCTCAAGGTTGGGAATCCAAACCATTTTCACTGCGCCAAACTGCCTCAACATTGTCTATGTACGGTGATGCAAATATTCACAGTAGATTACGATCGAAACTACAGTATGTGTAGTATAATTCCAGTTTTTACATTTATCATAATAATAATAATAATAATAAGGTAAGTATTATATGTGGCAAAGACAAGCCAAACCAGTCACTTGTCGCAAAAACCGATTTTGAGTTATTAATACAGGGTTAAAGAGTAAAATAAGAGCTATAAAATGGTAAAAATATCATTCAAATTGGACATTTCCTTATGAAGTTACAAGCGTTTAACCACACAGCTGTTTAAAGAACAATATATGAGAAATCTGCCTTCAAAGTTTATGATTTCAGGCATTTCTCATGCAGAAACTATCTTTAAATTCTTAAAAAGTGTTGTTTTAACATTGAAAATGGGGAAAATAACAGCATAGGATTGTGTGTAGAAATATAAAGTTTAGTTATAGTGCAATAAAATAGATTTTTAAAAATTTGACATTTTAGCCATTTTCTCTGAAACACGATTTGCGATGAGTGACTGGTTTGGCTTGTCTTTGCCACATATACTGTAGTGAGTTATACAATAACATTGTCTCAATGTGCTTTGCATGACCAGAAAGAAAAATAACCATGAAATATCCTATGCTTCAGGTGATGTGTAAAAATCCCCCGCTGGAAGCCCCCAGCTATGGCGTCTGCAGAGAAGAATAATCACTATAAATGGATCGGTCTATAGTTTAATATAAAATTAAAAAATAGATCAACCATCCGAGAGGGAGTGATAGAGTAAAAAAAAAAAAAAAAAATTGAAATTGTAGCAGTTTAAAGTTTGTAGTGTAATAAATTCAAGTGCAATTTATATCAGTTTGTCTACATTGATAATTTCATATCATTTTCTAAGTGATTTTTTTAACTTTTAAAAGTAGTAGCAACGTAGGCAAAATAATGAGATATCATTTGTTAATTGTGCACGGAAGAAAAGGTTAAAAACAAAACAGTAAGGATAAACACACACATTACTCATTGTCCAAAGCTTAACACTACACCTACTCAAAAATTACAGTGGCCACACATTTGGTTTTAATGAGACGACAATCATGTTTAAATAATGTTCAAGAGAAAATTCTAACTCACATGACATGCAGTAAAACAGATTGATAAAAATAACATCGAAGGATACCGTATCAATTTCTAAAGCTACTAATATCTGTATGACATATTTTTTTAGCGGCCGTCGTAGAGGTCTGGTTACACTTTAACAGATCGAAAGTTTCATTGATTAAATAAAAATTAGTTGACCTTTCCAAATAGAAAAATCAGAATGTCAAGCAACAAATGATTTATTCAGCTGTTTTATTAATGCATTGCTTAATTCATCTGAAATACCAGACTTAATAATTTTGTGTAATATAACATTTAGAATCTGTGGAAAATAATTACAATTTGATATCAATGTCCATTTAATCTTTCATACTTAATTCAGTCACGAATACGCAAATTAATTTTTTACCACCAAGTTATAATTAGCAATGCATAAAGATAGCCTTGTCACTTTATGCATTTGTCTATCAGACAAAGACTAAGAGAGAAAATGTGATGAGATTTTATCTGATAGTATTTAATCGTTGCTTCAGACATCAGATTGAATAAATCATTCATCTTTCCATATGATATCTCTAAATTTATCTGGTACCAATTTCATACTAAATTAGAGGCACAGTGAATTTAATACTGTAATCACCAGAATATAGCGAATTAGAAATATTTTGAAGCTGGTTACTAAAGCAAGCATTAGAGATTCCAGGTTTGACAAAAATTTACTCCATTCCCTGTTTCATTTACAGCCAAGTTTCTTTTACGATGCTTCTGCCTTTTTTTGGAACCAGCTTCCATATTACATAACTTCTTCCTGCAATTTTAAGTCACAGCTTAAGACCTATTTGTTTTTCGGTGGCTTTTCACGTACGTTGCGCCTTTGATCTTGTTTGGAATTGGGGCAATATAAATTTGAGATATTATTATTATTATTATTATTATAATTAGTGTGAAAAATCTACAATAAGGTGACACATATCTTTTTAGTTGTTAATATAACATTTATGCGTGTGGGCGTGAAAGCTAAAGATGAAACTCGAATGCGCGTGCCTCAAGTGCGAGCATCGCGCATGAGAATTGGTAGGTCAAGCAAAGCCATGTGAAGGTACATTCTCCATATATTTTGGGGGAGGACTGAGAATCAGATACAGATTTTTCAGATAAACAGCAACAGTGGGATGGAGGTAATACAATATTGTTTCTAGGTGTCAAGAAATGGGTGTGGCTGATGGGGGCGTGAAGGGGAAGTAGGGGATGGATGATTATGAAAGGGGCGCAAATTAAGGTGATTTGAGATGATTTTTAACTACTTGAACATGATTTTTTTGCTTCAAACATTTTCAATGGGGGAGTGGCTGGGGGTTTGAGTATTTTTTTTGAAAGGGGTTGGTGTGTGCATATTCCCTAGATACACCACTTCTCTGATAAGCAACACACTGCATGGAAGGTGGCTCATTCAAATAACTTCTGCAAAAATCTAGAGTGGGATACAGTATTGTACTGTATAGTTAGTTTTTTCCTCATTCAATTTCAGTTTTAATTTCAAAAATAGATTGCTCAATTCAGTTTATAGCATTTTGTGATTCTAACTTGGGGTCAAGAGAGACATAAAGCTGGATATCATCATGATATAAATGAAACTGAACTTTGATGTTACAAATTATTTTGGTAACCAACAATATATTTCCATGGTTACCAAAATAATTTGTTTACATTATAATTTGCTTTATAATGTAAAAAGGAAAGTTCTTCTTTTTTTAATTTTTTATTAAT